CACAGATACAGCAGCAGCCTTCCAGTCTGTAATGGCAGAGGTCTCCTCATCAGCCTTGGCACTTTAAAAATGCATGAACAGACGAATTAAACGTCATTAATGCTGCCTCACTCCATCTTACTATAGATGAACAATTCCCAGATGTGGGTCATGGAATTTCTTCTATAAATAAGCACTCTGTATGGGAGCGACTGTTTGCTGTATTTATTTTTAACTTATGTTTGTTGTTTGATCTGCAAAATCCAGGGTTACAATCAGAATATTACCACTGATCCGTTTAGGTTCTTATATCTGAGAGATTTATAGCTTATATTCTTCTAAATATTAAACAGATGTTGTCTCTGGATAGTTTGTGTAGTTTAGACGCTGGAAAGTCTTATATCTAATGTATTTAACATATCTTGAAAATATGTGGTTTGCAATGTATCTATACCAATAGTTCTACTCTTTGTTTTTCTACTTTTTTCCTGCCTTATTGTGTGTTATTAATCTCCTGAAAAGGTGTTGCTCAAGTTTTACAGGAACTTTATCCTCTGAAGAGTCCAGAGAGAAACTGTAGCAGACAATAGTTGTACAGTTTAATTTAACCAAGACTGTTTACAGCTGTGGTATCATCATCATCATCATCACTGTACTGTTGGATCCACTGTAGCAAAAACCAGCTGGTATGAAGGCATTCATGCCGTAGATGCTGTTTTGTTTGTTTTGCTTTGTCTATTGTTCTGTACTGAAAGTTAAGTCTAGATATGAAATGTGGAGCAATATCCTTTGTCCTAATGTTTTTATTATTTTTTATTATTTTAGGTTTACAGTTTAAAAGATTCACACATCATTACCTCAACAAAAATTGGCAACCCTGGTAAAGCTGTTTAGAGGCCTTGAATTACTTCTTTTTGAGGCTTGGAGATACAGAGTTAACCTTGCTGTGGCTTCCTTTAATCTCCAAACTGTTGAGGTTTAATTTACTCCTTCACCATCCTGAAAAGATCAACATGGCTCCTCCCATCTGTCTTGCAAACATTCCAGTTAGAAACATTTAATGTAATTAGAAATGGCAATTTCATTGTGCTCTTTTTCTTGATTTGAAGACCAGCAAAAACTATAGTATTATTTACCCAAAGTATGATAAAGGGAAAAACTAAATCCATCTTAAGGCTTTTCATACAGCTTTATCAGGGGAACTAACTCATGTGCTTCTTGTTTTTATCTGTAAGAAGGTTTGCATCTTTTCTACAGTTTTTATCCATCTTCCCTTCATCTCTTAGGGCCTACCTGTCGCTACCATTTTTTAAATTTTATTTGGGTAAGGTGTGCTTGGACTGAAATGCACTGTTCAGATTCTGCTTTACATTGCATTTTGTGTTTAAGCCGTAAACAGAATTGATTGTGTTGAAAGGTTTGTAGTTTTTGGGGGTGGGGGGGTTAAGGAATTGAAATTTCTGCTGTGATCCCTCATTGATGCTTTTGGCCCCTAAAAGATTCAAAAAGTGCTTTCTGTGGGTTTATTTTCAAACAATTGTGGTTTGCAAAGTGAGGAAATTCCAACTTGTAAAAACGATCATATTCAAGCACAGCATTTGACAAAAACATTCAAATCTTCAGAAATCTTCCTTTAATGGTTGCATGCTAATGTATAATTTTAATAAGTTAAACAAAAGGGTTTGAATGTTCAGTTATCCAAAACGTGAAGTATTGTGTTTGTGTGCAATAATATAGCATAACCTGTATCTGAAAGGGATCAGAGCTTTAATCAGACTGCAGTTTTTTTGTCTCCCCCATTTGTGAATTGACTCTGTGTAGACTATTGCATGGTTTCTTAACCAGCTCAACACATTTCCTTAAAAAAAGGCAGGCCAATGTGTCTGCTTCTCCTCTGAGCTCTTAACTGTATAACTAATGGACAGTCTTGCACGCTGAAGAACTGCCTGAAGGCGTATGGTGTACCCAAAGTTAAAGCACTGCTGTCACTTGTTTCCAAAGCACTCCTGTCGGAGAGTAGAACGTCCCAGCTGCACTAAAACCTCAAAGATGTTGAATGTAAGTTACCTGTATTGACATGCAGGTGATCCTATAGATGGCAATGTAATTTTTTACATTATTTTGGGGGATTTCTGATCTCCGAGGTTCTGTTTAATACTCTGAAATGCTGCTGAAAATGCTTGTAATGAAAATGAAGAAAGTGGTTTCTTCTTATTTCCAGCTCTGTGACAATAACACAGAGCCAACCCAGCCAATGTGAACGATGCAATATGTACAGGATTCAAAAGTGAAATGTGAGATTTATTTTGAAGTGCTGTGTATAGTTTTCCATGAATGTTTTTAGTTTAATTGGTTCTGGACAGTTGTAGACGTTTTCTTATGAACTGAAAACATATTTTTGTCATACAGAAAATGTTTCTGTTAAAGAGGGGAATAAAAGAATAAGTCATCAACCTCCGCTTTTTATTGCTGCATTGATTTTATTTTAATTATTTAATGAATTAGCTGCACTGGTAACCAGAGAGCTCTGAACAACAGGCCGCCTCCACACTGGAAAAGTATGGAGAATTTTTTTTTCTAATGATCATTTCTATTTTTTATTTTAGGTTAAAGAAAACTAGGTTCAATGTGCTGCAAAAGTTAAAGTAGCACGAGTAGGAAAAATATAATATAAAAAAATATTAAACAATTAACTGACACTTTGAAGTTTAAATAACTGCTTTTTGCTAAATGATTGTAAATTTAATATAAAGAAGACACATTAGTAAAATGTGAAACTTGAAAGAATGTAGATGCATCTTGATTGCCCCCCAGTGGTTAGAAATTTGAATTGCAACACAATTTCTAAAATAATTGGCTAAATTTATCATGCATATTTTCAAGATATAATCAAACCTTCCTCACCTCATAATTGTGAACTTTACATACTTTTTAAATTTAATTTATGGATTAAATTTCAGTTAAATTTAACTGAACTTAACAACAGTCTAAAATATATAATCATTAAGGGCACATTTATGTTGACTGAATACATATGTTGTTTGTGCCCTTAGGAGAATCGGTATTTTAGGGGAGTTAGAGCAGATGTTAACTGAGACTAAAGTTAATTTGAGAATGTTGATCTTTTTGCATAACTCCATCATCAAAAACAAAGAAAACTTCTTAATCACTTGCTCACTGCGGGACACTTTTCATCCACCTTTAAACATATTCTAATAACAAGCTCCCTCTCACAGCTTCTGACTGAGTCCTCTCTGGGATATCGATGCCTTTTCATATCCTGCTTTGTATCTGAAGGTCACTTCTCAAAGCAGAATAGAAAGCAGTCATCTCTGGCATAAACATCTTTTTCAAAACAGTTCTCTGTCATTCTCAGAGTGCTGATCTGAATACAGAAGAGTGTAGAGTTTGCCTCACAGAGCATTTGTTTATTGCTCCTGAATACAAACACCGTGCTGCAGATATATTTTCATCGCCTTATTAAACATTTATCATTTTAAGAAAGTGTGAGTATTTTTCCATTTATGGTTGTAAAACTTACAGGAAAAAGCACATGCTATGTTGGTTGTTGGTCCGGAAGCAAAGCACTTCACCATATTGCCTGCTGATGGCGTCTGTGTGGCAGTGAGTCCCAAGGCAGCTGTGACTAGCTTGCCACCATCAGTGTGTGACCCTCACTACTGACTGTAGTGTAAAGTGCTTTGGAGACCCTTCACTTTAAAATGTCCTAGTACAAGAACAAACCACTTTATAACCAGTTAAAAGTTTGAAACAATTGAAGAAACCTTTTTTTAGGAGCGTCTTGGAGCAAATTAGGACTGCAATTAACAATTACTGCAAATTAATTAATCTGTGATCATTTTATTGATTTATTAGATAGCAAAAATGGCCTTAAATAAAAATGAGTACAGAATTTAAACCAGGGGAAGCTAAATCTATGCCACTTGAGGACTGATGGATAGAAAATGTTCACAGACAAAAAGCGTTTCTCAGTGTTTATACAGCCCTCTGTATTGTTGCCTTCTTCCAGGATTTTCTCCTGGCTAAATCTTAGTCCTTGCACTTCTTTCCCTGCTGTAGTGTAAAAATAAGCTATGAGTCTTATGGTTTGTTAAAGCTGAGGTCTAGGTATTCTTTAATCTTAATACTGTTTGTTCTTTTTTTTTTAAACCTTCCCTATTAGAATTTATATTAGGAAAAAAATCACAATAAGGTTTACTCTTTTTAATAAATCCTGCGACCTTTGAAGGTAGGTAGTCTCTAAAATCGTTTCTCTATTTTCTTTGTGGTGTCAGTATGCAAATTACACTTTAGATTTGTTTTAGTAAAAACTAAGAAAACTGTTCATTCCTTTTCATCTCACAGTTTTGTGGCTCAAGATGTACTAATGCTTTTGCAAGGCATGTCAATAATCTACAAATATGCAATCAATGTATGATTTGGTCTCTCACAAGATGAAGGCCAGTATTAAAACCCGTTTATAAGAGCCGATGTCACCGGGGAATTTCTCCAATGTGAGATCAATGAAGTTCTATTTTATTGTGTTTTGCTGTCAAATAAACAAGCATCCAAAACTACAAAAAAATTGAAATCTAAGTCATCTTTTTCTTGAAATTAATGTATTTTTTCTTGAACTGAGGAGGTAAGTGAGGCACTTTCTAAATGGAACAAGACAATTTACATTTAAAATAAGAAAAAACATTAGCATTGTCTTATTTCAAGTGCATATTATCTAATTATCTCATTTTAACAGTAAAGATACTAATTCTATTAGCAAATCCTCTTATTTGCCTACTTGAATTAAGGATAAATGCACTTAATTTAGGATTTTTTTTTTTTTTTACATATTTCTAGATTGTTTTTGCAATGAAGCTGCTTCAATCTTGTTCTGCAACGCATCAAAAGGACAGTGAACTTTCAGGGACGATTTGTTTGCATGTTGGCTAATACGGGAACTGATGATGCTGTTAACTGTTAGCAACAACTGAACCTCAGATGTCACTTTGACAGGACAGATTTGCAAACAGGATGGCTGAGATGGTTTATGCTGTGACAAGGATGCTTCTGTTATATTTTATCAGATCAGGTACTGTGAAGGACATATATATATATATATATATATATATATATATATATATATATATATATATATATATATATATATATATATTATCCTCTGTGTTTATCTCTGTTATTGTTGAGTATCATTTTAATTTCTTGAGTTCTTTCTGCAGGCGTAAATGGAAAAGATGATCGGATGTTTTTAAGAAGGACTTTTGATACTTTTCCATGTGATAATATTTGCTATGACATCTGGCATTTCAACACAAGAGGGAGAAATGATTACTTTGCAGTAGTTCATAATGCAGAAATCCAGACGTCTAACCCTGAGGATGATGGCGCAAAGTGTTTTCTACATTTCAAAGTGGATGATGGACATCTTCGGTGCCAAAAGAATCCAGGTGGTCTCCGTTGAATCCTTTTTCACCTCTGAAAAAAAGCTTGAGAGTAAAATTAGGAATCTGTTCTATATGGAAATATATTCCTTTTTTTTTTCTCTTAGCAGCTTCAGATTTAATCCTTGCACCTGGAGAGAAATTGTCGCTGCAGTGTGTACTTCCCACCCACCTCAGGCATAAACACTGTAATGATCAGCAGTCATACATCAGCCTGATGTGGGTGGATGAATCCAGCTCCAAAGTAATCCCAGACTCCCAACTCCAGATACAGCAGAGGTCTCCCTGTGATGTCACCCTGACTATAGCGCTGCAGAGTCCCGCAAGCAGGAGGTTCAAGTGTCAGATGGCCGTGAATGAGCAAATCCAGACTTCTGATGAGTTTTGGATCAGAGTGCAAGGTTTGTTGGCTGTCAGCCACAATTTTGATTCTTTTTTTTAATGATAAAAAAAAAACAGCAATTATTTACATAAAAAAGTTCCCTTTTGTAGGGCCTACTGGAAGAGGTGGAGGGAAAGGCCTCGTCTTACAGCCTAAAGCTGATCTCCAAGGTACCCTACACTGCAAAAAGTCTTTTTTTCCCCTTAAAATAATCAATTTATTTTTAATAGAGGAGGTTGGTAACACACTTTGCCAATAAAACAAAGTAAATTTCATTTAAAATAAGAAAAACTATGGGATTGTCTTATTTCAAGTGCATATTATGTAATTATCTTAAATTTAAGAGAAAAGAAAATACTTATTAGCAAATCATCTTATTTACCCACTTAAATTAAGGATAAATACATTTTAGAAAACGTTCTTATTTCTAGATTTTTGCAGTGTAGTGCTACAGGGTACTTTTAAAAATATGTTTCAGGCTTACAATGAATCATTCCCCATCCCTTACAGTAGGTTATTTAATTGTTTTTTTATTAGGTCACAGCATGGGCACTATTGGGGCTGCTGTGGGAGCACTAGGCTGCATGGTGGTGACAGCTCTCGTTGCTGCATTTGTTGTAAAGGGAAGAAGAACAAGAAGAGGTACGTTTTTCTGAACCTCCTTAAACTAGCGCCACAGTGTGATGAAATGTCCACTTAGAAAAATTGTAACATGCATGTCATACATCTGGTCACAATAGGTGTCACCTTGCACAACTGTTCTTTTGTGGTCGTGAAGTAAGAAGTGAGCTTCCCAATTTTTTTTCTTTTTTACTGCTTAAAGCTATGTTTTGTAATCTGTGATTATTTAACACCATTTGGCTTTAAGTGACTTTCCAAACCATGTTAGACTGGCTGGAAAAATAATCGTTTTTCCATTTTGTGGCAATAAAATGAATTTAGCTTGTCTAAATTTGTTATGAGGTGGAAGCGAAAGGAAAAATTGTTTTCGATATCTTTAATGAATAAAAATCAGACAAGTGCGTTTGTGTTTAGGGCCTCTGAGTCCATACTGTGTAGAAGTACTCTCTGTTAACATTTTTGCTGCAGGTATCTTTGGATGCGTCTCTCCCTCAGCTTTGCACATATAGTCGGATGTTTTTGTCCACCCTCAGCTGGTTTCCATATTGGTTTTCTGTGTTCATCTTTAACACATTAGATTCATTGTAGCTCTGGTTGTACTTTTAAAACCGTGTCCAATAAGCTCTCCTCCACTTATATTTAGCTCCATCCATCTTCCAATCACTTCTGCCTGTCTTTCATTACCCTTTCTGTGCAAAGGCATTCCCACATGATGCATCCAGCACCATATTTCACTGTGGGCATGACTGAAAAATAGTCTAAGTATTTTACCTTATGCAGCATTTTCCTTAGAAGTTGAGTTTTTTTTTTATTATCTGATTTTTCTTGTTGCCCATATTTGTTTTGTTCCCTACATGGATTGTAGACAATTAAAACAGAACATCTAAGGTTGTCTCTAAAAATGACTGTAGCTGTGGATCTCTGCAGCTCCAGAGATACCATAAGAAAAAATATTTTGTGTTTTAGACTCCAGCCTCTGAGTTTAGTTAGTTTTCCAGCTGTTGTGTCTGATTTCCTCTGTGAAAACTCCTATAAAAATTATACATACTGAGAAACTGATGGGCGTCTTTTGTTGTAATGCTTTTCATTTTCAGACAATCAGATAGCAAACAACTCATGTAATTTGACCACTGGTGACTCTGTAAGTATCCCCCCCACCCCAGACTCAATAGACATTTTATATAATCTCAAAAAAATGTAAGATTAATGAGATTGTTGGTGTCCAGGCTCCAGGTGAGGTGATCTATGCAGTCATCACTCTTCCTACAGGCTCTGACAGCATGCTGCTCCAGGAGTGTGAGTCAACAGAATACGCTTGTATCAAATACCAATAGAATAAAAAAGCTTTTAAAAAACTGGCCTAGAGCTGCATGTAGTGTAAAATTGATAAGTTTGTTATCTCCATTCTTGTTGTAGTTGTCAGGTTGACTATTTAGGTCTAAGGGAGTAAAAAGAAACAGTGGCTGTTTTTATAAAATGCACTTGCTAATGTGAATTTTCAAGAGGTTTTTTGAGTGAAACTGTATGAGCAAATATAACTTTCTGATGTCCAATGCCATACAACCACACTGAAACTAGGCGGTGCCTTTATGTGTAATATGATAGAAATTCTACGGTTTTGGAAAGTATCCCAAAAAAATACACAAAATGTGGAGTTTTTAAAGGATTTTTTTTTCATGTTTTTTAACTGACTTGAATTGCTATGACATATGATGTGTTAATCTCTATTTAAACAACATGTTGTATTGAGACGGAAGCATTGTGCCAAAAATACCTGGGCTTAAGGTTTTATCCCACATCTTACTAGGGCCCTAAAAATGGGACAAAGATCATACAACCAGGAGCTAAAGTGACAGGAATCTGATCAAAAATATTTCAGCATCAAGGGAAAAAAAACAAGTATGCTCTTTTAGGACATTTTAGGATTAAGGCTAAGAAGATGCATAACTTTATGATAGGTGCCGGTAATTTTTTCACCTCTCAGTAGTAGTTTTGGTTATTTTGTGGAGATATTTTATATTCTCTTGTTGTGCTGATGATTTAAAGTTACTGTCTATAATATACTAATGTTGTTGAAAAAATAATATGTGGTTAAAGAACTCCAACAATACTATTTGTTCAGTTTTATTGTTACTTTGATTTCATGAAGGTCTAAATCTGTTATATTTATTTAGTTAACTGGTCCAAATGGGGAAAAGTCAACAATTGATTAAACAGTATTTTCCTATACATTTACATGGCATTTGATCTTTTTTAGTGTTATACATATCTGTTCTTCAGACATTTCGAACTGTAAACAAAGTAAACTATTAAAAAGCAATTAAGAGTAGGGGTGGAAAAAGGTTTGTGGAAAATTTCACAATGAAATTAGGCTGTGTTAAAATGGTAACACATGAAGGGAGCAAAATGGAGATTGGAATTAATCAAATGTCATAGTAACCTAAGACTGCAGACGTATCACAGAAATCATTGCAGCTTATCATTTAAAGGAGCACGAATAGCTGTTTTCACAAAAGCAGTCTGAATAAAGAAAACACAGTAGGACATCACCCCTTACTGCCCGGATGGATTTAACATTTAGAGAATAAAATACATTTTTATTTTACAAGGGTAAATTCATATGAAGTGGAAATACTTTAATTTTAATGTACCAAAAACAATAAATATAAATATATGACTTGTAGTATGCATATTAACTAAATATAATGCAGGTTGGGATAACTCTGGCCACTAGGTGGCAGATAAGCTTTCATTATATGTAGTGAATATGTATTTAAAGAAACTGGTATCCAGTATATGGTTTACTTTACAAAAATCACTTCTATTAACCAAGTCTCTATAACTCACTGGAGCATACAGAAGTTTATAAATGCAAATGTTGTCATTAAACTTTAGAGAAATAGTCTGTTTGTAGCAATCACACCATCCTATGAATTATTTTGGTAAAGAAAAACATTTGTATAGGTCATCAGGTAAAATTAAACCAGTTGATACTTTTTTGGACATTTTTGCCCATAGGAACAGGAATATTCATCAATTTTCAATATATTTCACTTATATAATAAGTATTTATTGCCTAACCCCTTCATCTGCATTCAGTTAATCCGTCTTAGTTTATGTAATTTTCTGCAGAAATGGATCATTTAGTTTCCCACTGATATCTGGATTGAATTGTTTTGTTGATCAAAAATTCATAAATGTATAACTGATGAAAAAACACCTACAAGTTCAATACTTCACCTTTTTATCTAACAATAGCACTATCTATATAACACGTATCAGACTACATATTTTTGAGTCATTCAACAGCTTGTGTTCTTATATTTCTGCCTCATTTATAGGCATTAAAGATAACAGAATACTGCTTCCTATGAAATACTGTGACTTTTATGGAACTGAACTGGAACATAAGGGCAAATATGCATTAAACTGGTGATTTTAGGGTCTTTCTATGATTCATTTATGCAACTTAAAGCTGAATAAATTGGAGTATTTGATCAGTCTGGCTTGTTCCCCAAACATTTGCAAACCCAGGTAGGGGGGCTTAAAGACTGCTGTGAAACCAGACACACAACAGAGAGCTGAGAAGATTTCATAAAGAGCTGCTCTGACAGTGATGTTTGGATCAGTATCCTTACTATTTGAATGTTCTGTTGGGAACCAGGTGTAAAAATCAATCTGTTTGGTTGGATCTTCATTAGGGAGTAAGTATGTACCTCCTTTTCAAACATGCTGAATTACCTTTACACATGGCCTACAATCCTGGCTCCTGTCCTCACATGTATTTACTTTCCCATGCACACACACTCACACACACCTGCGCACACAAGAACAGAGCCCCACACAGCCACAGCAGGTAAGAGACTGCCGGAGCCGGTCCCAGTGTTGCCCTATTTGCATTTTAAATGCTTCCAGCAAGCCCACTACTGTGTTCACAGTGCAGCGCAGCACAGCTAATCTACACACCTAAGATGTGTGATTGGCCATAGACAGGAATCTATGGGGGTTGAGAAGATGGAGCAGACTCAAACAGGACCAGCAGGCCCACACACTATAGAAACTGTTTCTGGGTTTATGTAGAACCTGATGTGGGGCAGATTTCCATGGGTTAAATTGCTTGGATATAAACTTTTTCAAAATGGCCTAGGAGGAATGAGAGAAGGTTTTAAAAGTTTGTTGAAATGGCAGCGAGGCAAAAAACCAACCAACAGAAAAGCATAGAAATTAGAAAAATTATGTATGAAGTGACCATAAATCATTTCTATAATATCATGGATCACTAACTGATGATAAGAGAATCGGAAAGGTTTCACTGGGATTTACTTTGGGTACCCTTAAGAATTGGTGAGAAATGGTAAATAGACTGGATTTAGAAAGCTTGTGTCTATTAAAGCTGACCAAATCCAATAGCTTTAAATTACAAACACATCCACTCAATCATGCTTTCAAAAATGGACCCAGAAGGCAATTTAGGGATAGGTTCCTTACATATTTTGGCATGTGACAGGAAGAAGCTGGAATCAAACCAACAACTGCTTCTTTGGTTTCACTAAATTCAGATACAATCTTCTGTGCTTAATAAAATCCTTTATATTATTTAAACATGATCAGATTTTTGATGAATTGATGAAAATGAATGCATAGTTATTGAAATAAAATAAGATTGTTCTCAAAACCAAGAATCGGACAGCGTTTAAGGCTAATTATAAACTGCAAAACTGAGAATTTTGTTCTTGTTCAAGATGTGGTAAGAGAATGAACTGTATAACAGAAATGTTCATATTTTTATTATTTTCTTACTGCTTTGACAAACCGATTCACAAAGCTACACTGCAAAAAAATGAAATGTAACTAATTCAATTTTTCTTGGAATAAGTGCATTTTTCTTTAATTAAGCAGGTCAGTGAGACACACTAAGTGAGATTTAAAATAATAAAAAAAAAAAAAAACTGCATTTTCAAGTACAAAAATACTAATTCAATTGGCAGCTCATCTTATTTACCGGCTCAAATTAAGGATCGTTTATAGATCGTTTTTTGCTGTGCATCCATTATATTTGTTACCTTTTTTCACTGTAAAGATAATTCCACACCTGATATAAAAAAGGGAAAATCATTTCCACTTTTTTACTACATCCAAATACTACCCAACCACAACAATTGTGAAAAAAGGTTTTGCTCAGATGACTTGCTGAGAAAAAGCAGCAAGGAACTCCCTAAACAAGAACAAATTTCAGGCTTATCATGGAATATGCTGCTGCCTTTAAGCTAGTCCTAAATCCAGGGATTATATGTACCTTTAAAATTCAAGTAGTTGGTCAATAGAGTCCACCTGTGTGTAATTTAAAAAAAATAGTACAAATACAGCTGTTCTGTGAAGGCTTCAGAATTATGTTAGAGAACATGAGTAAACAGGAAAGTTTAAGAAGACCCTTAGCTATCTGCCTAAATGGAACAGTCGGACATGAGTTATGCACTGCAGAATTCTGTCATTCATAGAGGACTGTGAAAAAGAAAGCCATACAAAGTATCATTTAAATTTCCAGAAGCCATGCAGGGGAAACAGAAAGCATTTTTAGGAAGATACATTGCCCAGATAATTGAATAACAATAGTAATTGTACTTGTATTTGCAATTTAAAGCACATTGAATTGTCCATGTACTGGATTGTGCTATACAAATAAAATAGCCTTGCCTTTGCTTGCAGCCGTGCATTTGATACATACATCAAAAATGAACACCCCATATCATCCTGCAAACTCCATTGATACATAGAGGTGACAGCTGTACAATATGGGAATTCTTTCCCTTAGCAGTTGCATATGGGCTATGAGTGATGCAACAGAATTAAATATGGTTTAATTAGGAGAGACATCATGTTGGAAACTATGTAGGAATGAAAAGTCTGTAGATGGCTACCATCACAACTGATGATTAAGGCGATTCTTCACAAGATACTCTGCACAAAATCTCTCCAATCTCACAAAGTAGATGCTAGGTTTGGAACAAGGAGTTATAATTAAACAAATCACAGAAACGTTATCTCAACAGAAAAAGGGCGAGACCCTGAAAAGGGAAAAAATTCCCACCCCTACACACAAAACTTTGATTCATTGTTTACAAGCAAAAGCTGTAAAATGCATGTTTTTCATGCAGCCTAATTGACGTTAGGGCCAAAGCCTTGAACCTCCACAAACTCAGGCACCAGTTTGTCTGCCATGGCCTTGGAGCTGATCAGCAGGGGCCAAATGCTGTGTTTCCTTAGAGTGTTATGTGTGTGTCAGAGGGTCTACAGTGGGGGTAGTGGGGGTTGGGAATGCGCTGCTAGTGCTGGGATTGTTGTGCATGTGTGGGACAAAAGGCGTTGATTAGAGAAATCCTGCAAAAGGGAGTAGGGGAGGTGTCAAAAGTGATACAGTAGAGAAACCCTCTGAGCTGGAGCTCAGGTGCCTTCCTCTGGTCTCATAAAGCTTGTGCCCACACCCCGTCTGCACATTCATTCTTCTAATCAACAAACCAGCTTTCATACGGCCTACTGAGAACGGACTAGAGAAATGACCTAAACAAGTTTACAGGAAAAAAATTACCTTTTAAATTTGGGTTTAGGCTAACTTTAACAAAAGTTAAGTGCATACTTCAATAAAACACATTTCTTCCTTTTTTGTGCATCATACTCATAATAAAAGTGTATCATTATTAAAGAAGCATTGGTGTTTTTTGATGAGCTACAACGTTTAAAGCCCAGGTGGATCATTTAGTAAATAAGGCAGCTCATGCATTCAGGTACAAATTGTCTCTAAACTCAAACCTAGCAGTTTTAGCAAGGATTAGCCTTCAAATCAATC